TAGATTAATAATTGAATTGAAGGAAGGAGTCAATTAAAAATGCCCCCCACTTTAAGACTATCATTTACTTAGGCATATGACTCTGACCAGTGTTATTTTTAACCTCAAGTTAACATTTTCTCCAACTTATTTGATTACGCAACATGTTTTTCACTACAGACTACAAAAAGAAAATAGTGTTTCACTAAATTCAGTTACTGGAGAATTCACGCTTTTAAAAATCAACAATTTTTTTTTCCAACAAAGCTCAGATTGTATAGCTGGTATCAGAGAGGCTACTAAACTCATTTAGATGTTAAAGTTATGTGCAAAAATGACTAAAGCTACACAGATAAACAGAATACTATGTTGATCAAGATACAATACAAAATTATCCTATAGAACAACAAACAAGCAAACAAACAAAAAACGGGGAAAATGTGACCAAGTATGAAAGGAAAACACAATCAATAGATGTCAACTCCAAGATGACCCAGATGTTCAAATGATCAGAGGAAGACTTTAAAGCAGCGATTATAACTATGCTAGATGATGTAAAAGAAAATAGATTAAGAATGAATGGACAAATTAGGAACCCCAAGAGATGATCTGGGGCAGATGGCAGAGCAAGAAGCACCAGGAATCTGTCTCCATACCTAGACAATTACAATAACAGAATCTGTCTGATGTAACTGTTTGGTAACTCTGGGGTCTGTTCAAGGCTTGCAACTTCCAGGGGAAGCCTTGGACTTTATACTGCACAAATTTAATTTAGGTCAATTTCATCTCTCTGCACATTAGTAGCCACCCATCCCCCACCCCCAGCCCAGTGGCAGCCGGCTGTGCACATGTTCCTGAAGCACCTTGCAAGCAGCTGCAGGAACCAAAGTGGGCAAAAAGGACCCTATGCTCCAGATACCAGGAATCTGTGCTCTGATCTCTGATTACTCCTTCTGGTCACAAAGAGGCAGGAAATCATTGTTATTGCACTTTCCTCGACTGCTCACTGCTGCAAGCCCCTTCCTGTCAGGCTGAAGTGACTGCCAAGGGCTTTAAAAGGCCAGAGCCCTCTTTTTTTACAGGGTTAATTTTTCTCTTCTCTACCTTTTGGAATCCAGACATTAAAGATGAGGATTTTAAAAAACAATTGCATATATGGGGAAAATAAGAGAGTGACCTTGCACCAAGGAACCAGGGAACCAGGGAAAGGTGCAAGTTCAGGTTCAGAAAAGACCAGAGAAGACCTTAAGTTTACACTTCAGACTAAGTATAAATCACTGTAAAATAAACTTCCCTTATAAATATAATTGTCCTCAATGTTCTAAATTTTTCTGTATATATTTCTACATATGGATATATCAGGTTTAAATAAGACATTCATTCACACACACACACATATGCACAGACAAATTATGTACACACAAACATGTATATATGTATATGTAATGTATGTGCAAGACAGATACACACACCCAACAACATCTTAACTTATTATGATCTGTTGAAAAAATTACTTTCCTCTGCTATTTCCTCATTTCTTCCATATGGCCCTCGTGCCTGGCAGAGGGTTATTATAAAAGACACAAGAGAAAGGAAAACTGTCTGTAACTCCAAATGGTTATGTTTTAAATTCCCATTTTGTTGGGACACTACTATACTAACCACATGATTAAATTTCCAGTCTGTCCACTATATGGAAACAACTATGTAATAAACTATTCGAACCTTCCCTCTCAGTCCTCCTTCACGACAGCCTCACTGAAGTCTTCTACACCTGATTAACAGGTTCTGTAGGATGCACCATGAGAAACATTTGCTCTTACAAAGGTCCCACTCTCACAGGTGAGATGACATATACATATGTTTGAAAGCACCAAGTTCAAGAGTGGACAAGCAGACTGAACACACAGTCCTCAAGGGAGTGGTCACGGAGGAGAACCTGCACCCTGCCCTCCCACACGTGTCTCTAAGAGCCAGGAATTCTTTGACTTGAGACAAAAAATCAAGGACCAACTAAGGCCAGAGCCCAAAGAGCACAGAGGTTTAACCAAAGATAGATCAATGGCAAGAGCAAAAAGAACTCAAAGATATTAGAGACAAACTAGGACCACATGGAGACTTTCTCCTAGATATAATCAAAAGCACTGAAAAGAGAATTGCTTTCTTACTCCACAAATCAATGTTCTGTAATTTAGCCTGTCCAAGCTAAAAATATGCCATATACTTCTGCACAGGTCACACTCCCCAAAGGCACTGACTACACCATGCTATAATTATTCTCCTCTGATACCTTATTCCCTTTTCTTGCCTCCTTCTTAAAAAAAAGTGCTACACAGAAGAGCTGAAAATCCTGCAACTTAGTGAAGTGAACTGTGTCAGTGCAGAGAAATGGAGCCAGAATGAATTAAATCCCAGCTACACCACCACACGAGCTGTGCGACCTTCAGCAAGTCACTTAACCTCTATATGTCTAAGTTTCCTCATATGTAAAATAGGGATAATAACAGCACCTGCCTGGAGTTCATCAGAGAAATGGAAATCAAAACCACAATGAGATATAACCTCAAACCTATAGGATGACTACTATAAAAAGACAAGAAATAAGAAGCACTGGTGAGGATGTGGAGAAAAGGGAACCCTTGTTTACTGTTGGTGGGAATGTACATTGATACAGCCATTATGAAAAGCAGTGTGGAGGTGCCTCAGAAAATTAAAAACAGGCTTCCAGTCAAGATGGCAGAATAGACAGTCTCCAGCGTCACTCTCTCCCATAAATCAACCAATCTACAGCTATAAAAAAGCAAAAACAAAAACAGCCTAGCTAGGGCTGCTGGAGCTCAGGGGAAGAGGAGGAGAGACGTATGGAGTGCATGAAGGTGGGAGAAGCCACAATGAGAGAAAGAAAAAACTGCTCAGATCATTTTGTGCCACTGTCACTTTAAGGCTGAAGCTGTTGCGCTCATGGAGCAGGAGCTGACAGAAGCCACAGCTGTGCCCTTCAGATGAAGTTGCTTGGAGGCCGCAGGGGAGAAGAGGGCCTTGGTGACCCCCAGGCCAGCAAGACCACTAACAGGGTTCCAGAGGACCTACACAGGAGTGAGGAGCCAGAACAGCTGAAAAAAAGGAGCCACTCAGAGGCCGGTGAGTCATTGCAAGGGACCGGCACATGGGCCCATCCCATGGGAAGTGTTTGCAGTACGGTTGGCGGGGGAGACGGGCCCACTGGAAGAACACTGGGGCACAGCAAGGACAGCTGGAATATAGAATTGCATGGGGTGCAGCTTGAGAAAAGACTCAGGCCCAGATCAGAGTTTCTGCACAACCCAGGTGCACTGGGTCTCTGGAGAGCTAGAAGCACCTATAAAGTCAACCATTAAAACCTGAGCTGCACAAAAAGCCCTCCCTAGGGAATCAGCAGCAAAGCAGCAATTTAGCTCAACCACACAGCTCAAGTACTGGTTCCCACAGGAAGGAAGTTCCCCCATTTTAGAAGTAAGCAAAGGACAAAAAATTGGTTCCAGCCCCACCCAAGGTCTTGAGGCAAGGATCTGGGAAGGGAATCCCCTACCACAACCAGGCACACTAACAGTGCCAAGGAGCATGCCAAAAACATCACCTCCATGTGGGTGGCCCACCACAGCCACCACAATAACCACAGCTGCTGCGAAGGCATCACAACCACCGTGCAGATTGTCCACCAAGTCACTGGAGTGCACTGACATGAGGAGAGACACCAGCAGAGACCAAAGAAAAGAAGAGGATGTCTCTCTCCACAAAGCCCATTCCAGAGTGACAGAAGAAGCATCTGCTCTACATAATATGGGAGGACCTGAACACACCTCTCAGCATTGGACAGATCATCTAGGCAACAAATCAACAGAGTAACCATTACTCTTTCAGAAGGAGAGAAGAAATCTAGGGTTATCAGAGGTGGGAGGGTGGAGGGAGAGGGCGATAGGGAGAGATTGGACAAGGGGCATAAAGAATAAGTATAATTTGTAACAATACATATGCTAGTAATATTGATTTGATCGACATATGTTAACATCGACCCCCCCAAATATGTATAATTGAATATGATTCAATAAAAATTTTTTTAAAAAATAAAGAAAATTAAAAATAGAACTATCACATGATCCAGCCATACCACTGCTGGGTACATATCCAAAGGAAATGAAATCAGTATGTGGAAAAGATATCTGCACTCCCATATTCAATGCAGAATTATTCAAAGCAGCCAAGATTTGCAAACAACCTAAGTGTTCATTGACAGATAAATGGTAAAAAAATTGTATCACATATACACAATAGAACATTATTTGGCCATAAAAAAAAGGAAATCCTGTCATTTGTGAGAACACGGATAAACCTAGAAGACATTACACTAAGTGAAATAAGCCAGACACAGAAAGACAAATAAAAAAATCTAAAAATTCAAACTCATAGAGGCAGAGAGTATATAACAGTGGTTGCCTGGGAGTAGGAGTGGGGGAAATAAGGAAATAGTGATCAAAAGACACAAACTTTCAGTTATGAGAGAAACAAGTTCTGGGGATCTAATGCACAGCATGGGTGCTCAGGGATGTGTTGATTTAATTGTGGTAATCACTATAGAATGTATATGTATATCAAATCAGCATGTTGTATACCTTGAATATATTCAATCTTTATTAGGCAATTAAACATTTTAAAATTTAAAATGTGTGTGTGTGTGTGAAGTGCAAAGAGCAATGTTCAGCTCAAATTATCCCCCACATAAATATTGACTATTGTTTCCAAAGAGGAAATGTGAGTAACCTCACAGGCAACAAGTTTTGAGTCACAATCTTTAAAACCATGAGACCACACATTTGTCAAATATGTTTCTGGAAAGTACTGTAACACACATTCCTACTAACATGAATTCACTGCACCCAGATCAAATATTCTCATAGGACATGAAAGCAATGAGCCTACATGTGTACAGGGACATGTACTGTGTATGCATTCTACACTCGCACAAAATCCCTTCTATTACTCACATTCTCATAGAGAGCTTGAAGGGTCTCCAGGTCAACCACAGAATTGTCCAAGTTCATAACAGCTGTGAAGAAAAGACAAAACAAAATATAAATTGCCGAAATCCAGCTGTGAAAAAGATGTTTGACCATCTCATGCAATAGAGTTCATGACCCAGCAGTCAGAAGGTGGAGGGGCCCACCTGCTTCTCTACAAAGACAGTATCCGGGAATTTCAATATCAGACATCAAGTGTTAAAGCTTTCACTTGCTCCACAAATACTTTAAATCCCATAAATATAGCGCATAGTCCATGGTCAGAGAGAAACTGTAAGTCTGTCATCCATGGCCCAAATGAACAAATCTGAAAAATCACTGCTACACCCTAGTTTTATACCAATAATTACTCATATCTGCCAACTGATTTAAAACATTTGACAAAGGTTAAATTCAATCATTAAACTGACAGACTTAGTACAGAAATGATAGATGTATTTCCTGTTACAGTTCCTTGAAGTGTTATAATCAAAGGACAATCATTTGATGTTGGTATTGAGATTAGCACAGATTGATCCATCCTTAAAATTTCATCCTTAATGCCCTGATCAGATTTGTGCCAAGTAGCCAGAGAAGGTCTTGTGAGATTAAAAATTTCCAGGAGAAAAATCACAAAGTGGATAATCACAAACTGAATATATTTATTTTGATAACTGAGGTTTTCTATTTGACTATGGCAAAAATCTCAAGAAAGAATTAAAAAAGACAAGTGGGAAATGGAAGCATCAGATGGATGAGAAATTTAATCAAAGAAATTTACCATTTGTATCTGGAGCTGGGAACAGAGACTGGATTTACCAACAAATATCCTACCAAATAGGATATGATACTTCTGCCCTAATAATTCACTATCTCAATTTCCGGAAAATTAGGTCTCTAATATAAATCTAAAAGTTTGATTAAGACTCTCAGACAAATCTACTTACTCTTTAGACCATATAAGGCAAACATATCACAAACTGTTTAATGTTTCAAAGCAGTAAAACATAGTCCAACTCAATTTGTCCATATTTCAAAAATTAATTAAAAGGGATTAACTAAAGATTTTCACTGGGGTAATATATAACAAAATGCATAAAATCTAAATAAAGATGGAAAATTCAAGTATAGAATTACCCTCTTGAGATGTGCACAGAGTCTAGCCCTTTATAAAATCTTACAGTGAATCCACAGGTTTCTGCCTTTGGAATTCATTACCTAGCAAATAATTCCAGTAATTCTCTATAAATATTTGGTGATATAGTGAGAGATTGATGGGGAAACTATTAAGGAAATACTAATAGTCAACTCAATATACCGTTTCATCATCAGAACAAGACAAAGAAACACAATAAAATCATTCATATTCAAGTCAAAACTCATAAAAAATACAATCATCCTTTTACTTTATCCATCATTTTAAAACATACTCTTATTCCTATAAGTTTTCCCCACATAAAACTTTACTCATGGATATCCTGAAGTTTCTCATCTTTTTATCTCATGCAAAGTCATTTATTTACCAATATCATAATAAATGTCATTTGCTCCTAAATTCTCAAAAGGTCCTAACACAGGAAACCTCATTTTTCACTCATGCACAAAGAAATCTCACTGGAAGGCAACACTGTAACTGTTTATCCACACAATTCTCCCTTAGTTGGCTTCATGCATGAGAGATGTTAATACAATGCAATGGCAGCCAGCCGTTTTGAGGGCACAATATAGACATTCTTATGTCGCTGAAAAGGAAGATTAGATACTGACAGAAGAATGGATGTAGTGATAGGAGTTCTAGACAAGAAATAAAGTAAAAGATAAAATTGGGGGAAGACGAAGGTATGGAAGTGCTATATTTCCTCAATTTAAAAAGCACATGTTAACATTTTAGAGATCAGGACTTGGATTAAAATCCTTAAGTTACTGCATCTTTTAGTAGTGTTTTTCATCATTCCCTCCCTTAAAATCTGTGATTACACAGATGGTGCATTTTCAGTTGATGAGTTTGTAAAATCAAGGAAATAAGATAAGGTATTCACTCACGTATTCAACAAATGTAAAGTGTCTCTCATACTCTAGAAAGGTTAGATTACTTGCGTAATAAAAATCTGAGATTGTAGTTATTGGATGAGAATGTGTTGCATTACCCAGTGCTGAAAGTCTGCAGACAACTGGTTATGCACAAAGACTACTCCAATCAGATTTCGAGTGACAATCGTGGTTAAAAAAATTACATATTTATAATGTATATAAATTTATATATGTTTAACATATCTATTATTTATATAAATGTTATATATAGACTTTTTTTTTTTTTCCTTTTTTTACTGACCGGTAATGGGATCGCAACCCTCAGTGTCGCGCCTGTACCGTGCTCAGCCAGTGAGGGGGAACCGGTCTCCACATGGGATCTGAACCCTCGGCGGGAGTGCCGCTGCACTCCCAAGCGGCGCACTCTCCAGTGCACCATCGGGCCGGCCCATATATAGACTTTTTTTAAGGTGGAAAAAGATTCAAGGAAAAAACTCCTCAGAAATCTTTCAGTTCCAGGTCCAAATTTCAGCCTTGTTTGGGATGAAAATACCTGAGTATTGAAATTATATCAAGTTGATAGTTCCTCAGAAGAGAAGACGATTTTTATAAGATGCAGTTTGTTTTTGTGGAAATAACATAGAACATAGAATCAAACTAACCTTGGTATAAATTTAAATTTTTATTCACTGTTGCATTACTTTGAGCAAGTCACTTAGTAAGCTTCAGTTCCTTTATGGTGGTGTGGGGGGGTAAATAATGGAAATTATTACCCTAATTTTAGCTCCAATATTTAAAAACAATCAAGAATGTCTTTGGTTTTCTGGGGACCAAAGGCAATGACAAAAGGGTCTGGCATGTGGTGTGTTGATGTCATTTCCCCAGGCCAACGTTCACACAAAAGTTCAACTCTTAGAAGATCCTTCCAACTCTAATAAGCCTTATTACCAAACCCAAAGTCAAACAAGTTCCTTTTTGTTCTATCTGTGTTTTTGTTCTCTTACATATCAAAGAGAAAAATTCCAACTGCATCTACTGTGGCACTTTCACCTGAATGATGAACTACTGGAACTATTAGAACTAAATGTGCAGGTGCTGGTCTTATCTATTACACTGTCTTGTTTGTTTAGCATTTAAACTGTTAAGCAGAAGATGTGATTTTAGAACATAAATAAATCCAAAAATTTTTAAAGTATATTCAATGATAAATGTTTAATTCAGATTACTTTATCCTCTCATGTACAACCAGGAACTGATGTGATTATACTTCAGATTAGAGGTCAAATATCTCTCACTCAATTCCTTCGCCTGCTCTAAGACATTCAGGAACATCCTTCATTGTCTGGGACTCATCACATTTTCCACCCCCACCTACCCCCTGAAGCTCTATCATGCAGTTTTAATTACTTTTCAAATGTGTGTGTGTGTGTGTGTGTGTATGTGTGTATAAAAACAAATGTTACTAAAAATTTTACCAAGAAGCATCTGTTCTGTTTTTATGTAGGAGGGTGCAAGGATGAAGGAGGTGTTAAGAGAAAACACTGGCCCTTTTTGTACATGAACAAATTATTCATTTATTTGTCAAGTATGCGAAGTTTCCATTATTACAGCAACTGGGGATGTTTATCATTCCCTTTAAACACCTTACAATGACCATGTGTTAATAATCACTTCAGACCAAATGGACAGCAATTTTATTTTTATTTTTATTTATTTATTTATTTATTTTGTCTTTTTTTGTGACCGGTAAGGGGATCGCAACCCACCAGCCATCTCTATATAGGATCCGAACCCGCGGTGGGAGCGCTGCTGCGCATCCAAGCGCCACACTCTCCCGAGTGCGCCACGGGGCCGACCCAGCAATTTTATTTTTAAGCCCACAAGTTTATAAACTGATGGTGTGACAGAGAAGTAGAACATACCAACGTGCTTCAACAACTTCATGGAAAGATTCATGTAACCTTAATTTCACTTTTCCATGAACTTTTTGAAGTACCCTCAGAGTACTCTTTCAGGCTTTTTTACCAACCGGCAGTGTGTCTTTGTCTTTGATCAAGGCACTAAAATTCTCTGAGACTTCATCAAGGGGACAATAACTTTTGCCTCTAGCATACGTTTATCATGTGTAGAAAACAGAATTATATACTAAAAAGGATCATTCAAAAAGCCTTGGAATAATTAATGTAATTAATTTGAAAATGTATAGTGTCTATGAACACACTGTTAGTAACTAGAGTCAGAGCTTACAATGTGTTAGATTAAAATTAAGTTTAGGATTAAACATTTGCTTTCAACAATCAAAAGTTAAGACAATAAATAGCTCTTTTCTTCATGAACTCCATGGTATGAGATTGCTGCAGTCCAATGCTGTTTTCATTAAATCATGCTATTACAAAATGAAGAGTGAAATAGTCTATTTTGGAACTCAAATAGTCAACTTATTTAACCTAAGATATTTAAAATATCTAAAAATAAAAGGCCCAAACAAAAAGTTTTCTTTTGATTTTGAGATGCTGCATTACAGAAAAAGAATTACAAAAAAAGCATTTCAAAATAAAAAAGCGTTATAGACTCAATGTAGCAAACAGCCTCCCACTGGACAACTGACGTTATATACAAGCAGAGGTCAGCCAGGTGTCTATCCCCTGGACAAGTGGTTTTGGTATTAATGTGTCTCCTCCATAGCTGCCTTATTCAGCACCAGAGACATGGGACATGCTTCTTATTCTAACATACTGCAATGTTAAATCACCCAGGACTAGAGGGCAAAGTGACATATCTGTCTGAACTTCTCCATGAAAAGAAGAATCCTGCTATCAAATAACTGCACAGAAGGGGAAAAAATGATGTTTTATGAGCCCAAGTTTGAGAAAATCATTTAAAACAAAACACTTCACAAAATATTAATGATTAGCCAAACCTGAAAATCTTTCACATTTCTAGAGTGGCCAGCTGAAGTAGTGTACTTTAATAGTGTAAATCAACAAGATATGATTACTCTTGTTGAATGGAACAGTTT